TTTTAACCAACACAGCTTCTAGAAAATCCCATTCCACCCTATCAAAAGCCTTAGCCATGTCCAATTTAAGAGCTAAATGCCCTTTTTTTGCTTTTGAAAATTTCATATGATGAAACATTTCAAAAGCTACAAGAACATTGACAATGATAAGTCTCCCCGGGGTGAAGGCACTTTGATTTACAGAAATAATTTCATTGAGGAAAACTTTATGTCTATTAGCCAACACTTTCAACACCAATTTATAAATCACATTGCAAAGACTAATAGGGCGAAAATTGGAAGCATCTTTCTTTTTGGGGATTAGAACAATAAAAGTCTTATTTAAGTAGCTAGGAATAGAGTCACCTCTCAAAATGCCGAGAACAAGAGTGCACACCGAAGGTCCAACAATATGCCAATAAGTTTGGTAGAACAAAAGGCACATACCATCCGGTCCCATGGCTTTAATAGGATGCATTTGGCTCAAAGATTCTCTCACTTCCTCACCCTTGTATTCCGCACATAAAATAGCATTCATCTCCGAATTAACACGGCTCTCAACTCCAGCCAAAGCCTCATCAACTCCCACACACCCACCTGCCGAGAATAAAGAAGAGAAATAAGCATTTGCGACATTACCAACCCCCGCATTTCCTTTCCTCATATTCCCCTCGTCATCAATCAAGTGAGGAATATGATTTTTTTTTGTTTCCTTCCTGAAGCACGCCTATGAAAAAACAAAGTGTTGCGGTCTCCTGCTTCAAGCCAAAGGACGCGAGATCTCTGTTTCCAGAATACCTTCTCTTGCCGCACCAAATGGGTAATGTCCCTGACTAAGTTGCGTCTGTGAGCAACTTGATTTGCAGACAACCCTCCCTTATTAAGCTTTTTCAATTTTTTCCTTTTCTTCCTAAGTTCCTTGAACACTTTCCTGAATTTTTGATCCCCCCAAGAGCAAAGATGTTCAGCACATGACTGCAGTTTTTTCTCCATCCCGAACCCACAATCCCAGGCACCACTAATAACACCTTCACACTCCTCCTCCGCCACCCAAATTTATTCAAACCGGAACAATTTTTGCTTTCTTTCCACTTCACTAATATCACTGTCAAGGATCAGTTTAATCGGGCTGTGATCAGTCCATTCTCGATCAATGTGAACCAATTTAGCACGGGGAAAAGAATCAAGCCAAGCATCAGTCGCCAACGCCCGGTCTAACCTACATTGCACATTCTCCACCCCTATTTCAATTATCATAAGTGAAAGCGTACCCTTCAAACCAAACCTTACGGAAACCACATAATTCCACAGCCTCCCTAAAATTCGACATTTTCCACTCCGCCCGATCTCCACCACCATTTTTATCCGAATCAGTAAGAATTTTGTTATAATCCCCTAGACATACCCAAGCCGATTGGATTTGAGCAGCTAAGTCCCTTAAAAGACTCCACGAAAGATGTCGATTTTGGACTTCCGGCCACCCATAGAAACCCGTGAGTCTCCATCCCCCATCACCTATCCCCTCCTCTACCCAAAAATCCATATGATGAACCGACATTGATCTAAGAGACAACCTCACACCCTTTCTCCAAAGCATAGCAAGTCCCTCCTCTCTTCCGACACTATCAACCGCAAGACCCTCAAAATCTCTAAGTCTTCCCCTAACTCTAGCAAATTCAACAATACTCAATTTAGTCTCCGATAAAAATATCACAGACGGGGCCTCCCTTCGAAGAGATGAAACCGCAGAGGGATTGCCCAACCCTCTACAGTTTAAGCTTAAGATACTCATTTGGTTTGGCGGGGTTGGCCTCCACCAACCTCCGCCAAAGCAACCACGCTATCAAAGACATGAACCTTTTTTGCTCTTTCCTCACCACCAAGTTCACTTTCATCCAAACACTCCCTGCCTCTTTTTTCACTAATATTCTTAGTAATAGAGGGAGTAGCCCCACCAGAAGGAGCTTTTCAAGGGATCTTCTTCCAAGTTTTACTTTTTACACTCTCCTTCCCCTCTACACTACTATAACCATGTGCAGGCGCCAGGCTGCCTTCAAGCTCCAAGCTGCTTCCGTCCTCCATAGAGACAATATCATCAGAACGCTGCACCTCCTCTTCAGTTGGTGAACTCACAGTAGGAACAACACCAGCCTTCTTCTTACCCACGTCAGCCCGCGGTTTGTGAGTAAAATTAAGCGTTTTGGCGCTCGATTTTAATTTGGACACTTCCTCTTTGAGCCTTACTCGACCCTTACGCGGGGATGCACGCAACCAAAGACCCCATGGCTTCTCATCACACTCCTCATCCTCTTCCACATTCGTGCAGTCTTTCTCCGTGTGTCCAAGGATGCCACATAAGAAGCAAAAGGTTGATAACCGCTCATATTTGAATTGCACAGTGGTAATCGCCCCTTTCTTATTCCGGATCTTTTGGATTCGTCTAAGCGGTTTAGTGATGTCTACCACCACTCTCACCCTCCTCGACTTATCCCATCCAAGTTCATCACTCTCGACTGTAGTGACATTGCCAATTTCCTCCGCAATCTTGCGCACATCTTCATCTGATCGACTATCCAAGGGAAGATTATACAATCGAATCCAAAAAGGGCAATGTTTGATTTCAATCGATTCGGGCTGCTCATCGCCATGGATTTCCTTTAGTAAGAGCAGTTGGTTATCGAAATTCCACAGAGCCCCATCAAGCACATTCTCTTTATCCCTCCAGTGAAAAACTGAATGATGAAAAGGTTGTTTTCAATTTTTCGGAACACCACACCCCTACTTAACGACCAAACTTGCTTCATCGTATTTTGGAATGCCTCGAAATTGAAGGATCTGACAGTTATCAATTTCCCAATCAGAGAAAGCGCAATCTTCGATTCATGCGATTCCGAATCGACATCGCAAAACTCGGCAATATCCTCTTCTTCTGCAGTAATCTTAAGTTTCGCCCACTGATCAGTGATTTCCTCTGCCATTGAAGAGTAAAACACAAAAAGACACAGAATAACACTCACTATAACCCCATCAATCGGGGAGTAATATTCGAATTTACAAGAGAACTAACTCAGACCTCGGTGTTAGGGAGCCCTAGACACTCAGAGCGAGACTCGCCTATGAATATGTCTCGTATCTCTTTCTAATAACAAAATACACGCGTTATAACTTCAAGGAAAATAATAATCAAAACAATTAAATTAAATAATTGAAAGAGAGATTTGGGACCAAACCCTCATAAATTAAAACCTTTCTCATCTAGGGCGAAGGCAACTTCGAATTTGGCTTGATGTTTCTAGGTCTTGTGAATGCGGAATTTTGTTTGTAAAAGGGTTGGTTTAGAAAGAGAGAGAGAGAGAGAGAATATCAAGAATTTCTTGATGAGAGTTGGTGAGAAAAATTGATTGTTGATATTAATGATTGAAAACAAAATTTTAAGAGGCTTTTTATAGAGAAAATCAGCCGGATATGATAAAAAACGAATCAAAGTTTCGAAAAGAATAAAACACGATCAGAGCGCAAACCACATGATCTGGCGCCAGACGCCAGGAGTGGCGCCAGACGCTGAAATCCAGTTTTCCACGTGTTTTCTTATTTTGATAAAATTTAGCAGTACGAGAGGGCAAAGCACTTCTTTTATTCTGATAAAAACTTTAAAAAGTCAACCAAAGTCAATTTATCAATGCTAATTAAATTAGGAATGAAAAGAACCTTCTAGAAGAATCTAGAAGAATATAATCAATTCTATTGCATTAGGAATGATAAATCAATATTATTCCCTCCTCTAAATCATTGGGCCGCATATAAATATCAAATCGGGTCCAGTTTAGTAATTTGGCAATAACTTTCTCATTATTCATCGGAATTGGGCTTATAATATATCATTGGAAAACTCTTTTTGAACCTAACCCAACTACACTATTATTGGACCCTTGCCATGGACCAAACCAAACTGGATTGACTGTTTTCTTAAAATAGGTTTTCAAAAACAGAGAGAAAGAAGAGAATTAAAAAATGTCCGCAACACTAGACTTTCTACACTTTCACTTCATTCGATTATGATTCGACGTGAAAGATACTCATCACTGGGTTTGGTTTTGGGGAGACACAAATGGGTGTCTACAGTGTTATTAAACATTGTTTCAATTTTCTACAATAAATTGGTAGGTTTTAGTTGTAAGATAGAAACTTCTAATATTTAAATTTCAAAAATGTTAAATAGGATAACTCTACCAAAAAAAAAAGATGACATCATCATTGCATTTAGGCGGAAAATTTTTATTAAGAGAATGATACGTGGGTAATGATGATGTCATCATCTTCTGAATTCTGTTTTAGTTTTAGTTTATAAATTAAATGCGGTGAAGTTACTGTACATAGCAAGAGAAATTAAATATATTGAAATTAATGTGCATGACATGGGTTTTAACTTAATATATGCATAAAAATGAGCTCATAAGACTCATGTATCTATGCTTTTGTCTATGAAACTAAAATGGCTGGATATTAATCTATAAATATTGATATTTGATAGAGTGAGATCAAGATAGCTGATAAGGTGGATGGGTCCGGTTCTAAAGTTTCTTGGATCTATTTTCATCACCTACTCTTATAAGTTATAATTCTGTAAACATTCAAAAATTTTTTATAAAGATAGAATGGTTCAATCCCATCAATTCTTTTGATTTTTCTAGTAATTATACCGGCATTAACAATTTTGTCTACCATTCAAAATGTTTGATGGATGATTAGGCTTGTAGAATTATACGATTTCATCATCCGGATCACAATGTTAGTAACACAGGGAATGAAAGATTCGGATGAAGCTCAACCGGATCCGATTCGAATATAATGTATTGGCATTTCTATCCACTCATATTTCTTTAATAAAATACAGTACACTTATCAAATTATTAGTGTTATGTCGTTTTCCTTTACGAAATCGTGAATCTTGTGCATACTATTTCACATCATTTGACAATAAAATTGGCAACTTGTCATCTTGTCATTGTAAAATTTCTAAACTGAATCTTTGTCTATTTATATAAGCAAAAGGCCAATTGACGTCTATTTATATAAGCAAAAGGCCAAATTCTTACTGTTAAACTTTTGTTAGAGAAAAAACGAAGAAAAAGTAATCATAATGAATTCAAAGTTTTTTGAAGAAAAGTACTTAGATTATGTATTAGTTCCTTCAGGATTAATATTGCTTGGTATATACCATTTATGGCTTCTGCACATCATTGTTCACCATCCTACAAGATCTGTCATTGGTCTTAATTCTATCAGCCGCCATCAATGGGTTCTTTATATTATGAGGGTTAGTTTTCTTCTCTTCTTACTAGTTCTAATTTCTGATCTAGGTATTGAATATTTTGTTGGTCGATTATCTTTTCTATAGATCTTGTTTCTAGTACAAACTCATTGTTGGATCGATGCATCGTTCTTGAGCATGGACATGTTTATGTAATGTTTACTAAATTATTTTAAAACTCTTGCAATGCACAATTTTATAATATGGATTGATACATAGGAATAGATTACATACCCTTAAGTCGTATAAAGTGTCTAGTTGGTATACTCTTTAGACATTAAATATAATGAGCAAATCCAATTTACTTTATCGGAGTATTTTATTGCTTTGTGTATGAATGTATGATGATTATATTAACTTATTAAGTACAAGTGTTAACATATGTCAATGTATAGATAAAATACATGGCTTAAATTTTTCAAAAAAAAAAAAAAAAAAAACAATAGAAAAAGAAAACATGGCTTTAATTTTTGTGTTAGCTATAATCTGTAATGTTTTTGTGTCTAGGATCCAGCAAAGAATGGTATTTTGGGTGTACAAACGATTCGAAACAACCTAATGGCATCGACACTTCTAGCAACAATTGCGATAACACTGAGTTCATTGATCAGTGCTATTGTGAGCAGTTCAAGCAATCTGAACTACACAATTCACACAACAAAGTATTTATCAGTCTTAATATGTTTTCTTGTAGCCTTTTTCTGCAATATGCAGACAACCAGATACTATGCACATATTAGTTTCTTGCTGAATGTACCATCACCATCAACTGAAGGAAGGGAAGAATTCATTGAGTATGTCTCCGAACAATTGAATCGTGGCTGCCTGTATTGGTCTTTGGGATTGCGAGCATTCTACTTTGCTTTTCCTCTTCTGCTCTGGATCTTCGGCGCCATTGCAATGTTTGCTTGTAGCTGTTTGATGGCAATTCTGCTTTATTTCTTGGATACTGCTAGTTCTTGCCCGAAGTATATTAACAATAGTAACGCGAACAAAAATACTCAGAAATCGGATGTTGAATCATTGTAAGTTAAATCTGATCACTTACATCTTACGTCTATTATACAATATGTTCTAATTGTTTAGGACTCTAAGGTGATATGTTGTTAACAATAGCACAAAATTAGAGAGTTAATACGAATGCATATAAGTTTTAAATTTAATTAGTGTGATCTAAACGGATGAGGTATAGACAATGTTAATACGGAGTACTATGACTAATTGACTATTGACTATTAACTATTGACTACTACCAATGGTTACACTAGTGACATAATTTCCATTAATTAAACTGTATATGCAAATTTATTTTAAAGAAAAGAAAAGCTTCTTAACATATATTGTTGTATTTTTTGCAATATTAAAGTTGCTATTGAGCTTAAGTAGTTAAGCGTACCTTTATTTCATGCCTTCTGTGATTTTCTAGGAAATTCTTCAACTAGTTTTATCTTTCTGTGAAAATCATTTGTTGTTTTGTTTCATTTTACTGCATAACTAGCTTGACAAGTCGATATAAATTCGTTGAATTTTTTTTATGGTTACAGGGTAACAGATTGGTCAGGCAACTCGAACCTCCATTGCTCGCTACTAGGAAACAACAAGCCACAATCTATAAGTACTGATAATTTGTTCACTTCTGCGAGATAGTACATACCTTGAATGCAAGCTCACATAAGCAGCCTCCTGCGAAAAATTCGAAGGAGCATAACAAGTAATTTGTAGCTTTGACAAGTAGTTTTAACTATTATTAGCTCAGAGTCTCAGAGTAATATGGCTACTGATGATTATAGGCCATAATGCTCCGTAGTCTACTGTATTGAATGCATAAAGTGATCCGTTGATGGTATTGTTGTTTGTTCTGATTTTCTCCATCTATTATATTAAAAAAAAAAAAAAAAAAATTATTTTGCTTTTTATTGATTTATTACTCAATTGCTTTTCTCTGTTTTTATGTTGATGGATATGATGCAAATAATGCAATGTTATACGTACAAGTATACAACTTCATAGAAGAAAATTTATAGGAAAAATTACTTTAAATAAACCAACCTTTGCCCCGTTCTTCCAAAATAAGCCAACCTTTGGATTATTCCAAAATAATACAACCTTTTACCCCCTTCTTTCCATATCAAACCCAAATGTCTGGTTACCCAAACAACCGGTTATCCATTTCCTTCTCCTTCCTTCCACCAATTGCTATCATCTTCCTCCATTACCACCACCCAAAGCTCCTCCTCCATTTTATTTTCCCTTCTTTCTTTTGAAGTCGCCACTCATCCTAACACCACCACCTTCACCAGACCGCCCCAAACAAACACTACTCCCTCAAATATCCACCATCGACGCACCATACACCACCAAAATCTCCCCTGCTACTCCCTCACACACCAAACCCAAAATCACCACCTCACAAAACCATAACAACATCCCCATTCACAACACCACCAACACAACAACCCCACTCACTCACCATCGCCATCCACAAAACATAGCCACGTAGCAGCCGCAATAATTGCACCAAAAAACAGCATCACCCACCACCAAACAACTGCAACAATCATCAACCACCAATCGGAGCAGCCGCCTCAATTGTACACCAAGTTTAGCCAATAGCCTCGTGGAGGGATGGATCTATCCCAATTAGGCTAGATATTCGTGGTGGCTGGAGGGTTGTTTGGTGGTGGTTGGAGGTATGTAGTGGCCAGAGGTGTTGGTGGCGGTGGCCGGAGGTTTGTGGTGGTTAGAGGTGGTGTTGGTGGGAAAGTTAAAGGGGAGGTGAAGTGGCAGGGGCGGACCCACGTAAGGACAAGTGGGGATCAATGTCCCCTCACTTTCAAAAAAAAACTTAGAGAATTTAAAAAAAAAATAGAAAACAGAAAGGCATCTCACATGGGTAAGAAAGAAGGAAAGAAAAAAGGGAGGAAAAAAGGGGAGGAAAAAAAAGGAGGAAAGAGAAAATTTTGAAAATTATAAAACCTAAGAGAGAGAAACTAGATCTTTGCTTGACCACCGAGACCAGCGTTGCACGGCTGCACCGCACCACGCCACCACCGTCCACCGAGGCCCGCCGGACGCTGCCACTACAGCCAGCCCTGCTGCTCTGCCACCACAGGTCAGTTTTTTTTTTTCTGTATTTCTTAATTTTAATCATTGATTATAAAAAAAATTAAGCTTATGAGTATTGAGTAATTATGTTTATGTAATCATGTTTTTGAATTAATTTGTGATTTAGTTTATTTGTTCTTAGTTAGTTAGTTGTGAATTGAATTTGTGATTTTGTGAATTATTTGGTGAATATGGTGAATGTAAAATTGAAACTTTGCAAGTATGAAGTAGAGAAGTAGTTTGTGAATTTAATTAAGATGTAAATTAGTTTGTAATTTTGTGTATTGAATTAGTTTGTGATTTGGTTTTCTAGATTTTAGATGCTTATTGTTAAAAAAATAATTATTGAATATTGAAGCTTAATTTTTAAATGAATTAGGATATGTCAAGTTCTTCAAGCAAGTCTAGGACAATGGGAAAACAAGCAGATCTTCGTCAAATGTTGTTTAAAAAATTGAAATCACAAGATAATTCTTGTTCTTCACCCACACAAAGTGAGACACCTCCTAATCATAGTATGCAAAATGAAACCATTAGTATTGAACCAATTGATGTGGATGAACCAATTGATGTGAATGATGTGGATGAAAAAATTGATGTGAATGATTTGGATGAATAATTTGATGTGGATATAGAAATGGGAGATTCATTTGAGGTAGAGGAAGAGGAGGAAGAAGAGGAATTGGCTTATGATGTTGAACTTCTTCCTCATGATCCGGGACTAAGAATGGACATAATGGACTATCCCCCTAATCAAAGAAATCCGGTGAGGAGAGCCTACATTCTTAAAAAACCTTGTCAACCAAAAACTCATAATTTCCCTCAAAGACAATGCTCCGGAATACGTCGTTTTAGTGTGAAGTGGTTTAATAAGAGAGATTGGCTTGAATATAGTATCAAAATATGCCGCATTTTGTTTTGTATGTTACTTGTTCAAGCATGAAGTTGAAAATAATTGTGGCGGTGATGCATTTGTTAATGGAGGATTTAGGGCATGGAATAAACCGGAGAGGTTTGATAAGCATGTTGGTGGAGTGAATAGTGCTCATAATATTGCTTATGAGAAATATGTGAATCTAAGAGAGGGGAAAAAAAATCAATTGTCAAAATATTTGACAATGCAAGTGAGGCAAAAATTTAAAAATATCATATTCATTTGAAAGCATCATTAGCATGTTTGAGATTTCTTTTGGGGCAAGGTTTGGCATTTTGTGGGCATCTTGAAAGTGAGGAGCCATACAATCGGGGTAATTTCCTTGAACTTTTGAAATGGATAAGGGAAAAAGTGGAGGAAGTTAAAAATCATACTCTAGAAAATGCTCCTAAAAATTGTGTATTGACTTCTCCTAAGATTCAAAAGGACATTATAACTTGTTGTGCAAAAGAAATAACTAGGCGTATTGTAGAAGAGGTTGGTGATGAATACTTTGCAATATTGGCGGATGAGTCAAGTGATGTGTCCCAAAAAGAACAATTAGCTCTTGTTTTGCGTTTTGTTGATAGAAAAAGTGGAGCGGTGATGGAAAGATTTTTAGGCATTGTTCATGTTGGTGATACTACCGCTTTATCTTTAAAAAATGCAATAATCTCTATTCTTATGGAACACAACTTGAGTCCATCAATGATTAGAGGGCAAGGGTATGATGGTGCTAGTAACATGAAAGGTGAGATAAATGGGCTTAAGACTTTGATTATGAATGACACTCCTAGAGCTTATTACATTCATTGTTTTGCACATCAACTTCAATTGACTCTTGTTGCCGTTGCTAAAAAAATGATAATTGTGGTTGGGTGTTTGAAATTACTACAAACTTGTTGAATGTAATTGGGGCTTCTTGTAAAAGAAGAGAAATAATTCGAAAAAGTCAAGCTCAAAAGGTTGCTCAAGCATTAGAAGTGGGGGAAATTGATAGTGGTTCGGGATTGAATCAAGAAGTTGGTTTGAAAAGACCCGGAGATACACGTTGGGGATCACATTACAAATGTGTTCTAAACATTATCTCCTTGTTTCCTTCAATTGTTGAGGTACTTGTGCACATTGGAAAACATGGTTCATCGGAGGATAAATTCAAAGCCAAATTGTGTTGGGTTCATTAGAATCATTTGATTTTATTTTCATGGCTCACTTGATGTTGACTATTTTTGGATACACTAATGATTTGTGTACTGCTTTGCAAAGAAAAGAACAAGATATTATTAATGCCATGAGACTTGTTTCTTCTACAACGAAAGTGTTACAAAAAATGAGGGAACAAGGTTGGGATATTCTCTTGAAAAAAGTAACTTCATTTTGCAATAAACACAAAATTGATGTTCCCAATATGGAGGCTAATTATCTTCCACGTGGAAGATCAAGGCGTTTTGTTGAGAAAGCTACAAATGAACATCATTTTCTTGTTGGAATTTTCTTGGAAGTGATTGATTTGCATCTTCAAGAACTTGATAATCGATTTAATGAGAAGAACATGGAGCTACTTACTTGCATGGCTAGCTTAAGTCCTAAGGATAATTTTTCATCGTTTGACAAAGAAAAGGTACAAAAGCTAACTTCATATATAAAAGATACTTGTCTTATTGTTATTATATATTAATATTTGTCCATTTTTTTTACAAGGTGCTTAAACTTGCTTCTTTGTACCCCGAAAAATTTTCACATAATGAGTTGTTGAGTCTTGATGATCAACTTGAAGTGTTCAAGCAAATAATGTTAGAAGATGAAAATTTTCAAGATTTGCATGACATTAATTCTCTTTCAAAGATGCTTGTCAAAACCAAGTTGCATGAAACTTATCCTCTTATTCATTTGCTTATCAAGTTAATGTTGATTCTTCCCGTTGCTACGGCAAGTGTTGAAAGAGTCTTTTCGGCAATGACATACATCAAAAGTAAATTGAGAAATAGTATGGGTGATCAACTTATGAATGATTGTTTGGTTACTTACATTGAGAAAGAAGTGTTTTTGCAAGTCCCCGATGAAGATATCATTGATCGATTTCAAAAAATGAAGACTCGAAGAATATTTTAGTAGTATGTAACCAAATTGTATTATTCAATAGATTTTGGGATTGTAACTTTTTAGTATTAAACAAGTATGTACCTGAATTATTTACATTTTGTACTCATTTTTTAAAAACAGGTTGATGTTAGTTGAATTATCGAAATTGTCCCCCATTGTAAAATTTCTAGGTCCGCCACTTTGAAGTGATAATGGAGGAAGGCCATGGAAGGGAAAGGAGAGAGAAAGAAGGATGGTGGTGGCTATGGTTGATTAGTGGTGACTACGGTGGATTAGTGGTGATAAGGGAAGAGAAAGAAAGAAGAAAGCAGGTGGGCGAAAGAAACCAGGGGGTTGGTATTTTTTGTTAATTTTTTTTTCCAACTCAAATTAAAAAAAAAAAAAAAAAAAAAAAAAAAAAAAAAAAAAACCACTCATGAAGTGCCACATAGCACATATAACCGGTTGTACCGGATAGGTGACCGTTGTGTTTGATATGGGAAGAAGGGAGTAAAAGGTTGTATTATTCTGGAATAATCCAAAGGTTGGTTTATTTTGGGAGAACGGGGCAAAGGTTGGTTTATTTGAAGTAATTTTTCCAAATTTATATTAAATCAAAGTAAGCAGTCTCCCTTTATTTACTTACATTAATGTTTTGTCTTTTATTTTTATGTTTTAGTAACAAACAATTACAATATGCAAATACAAATATTTCAAGTATCTATTTTCATATACTACCTCTGTTTCATATTATTTGTAATGATTTCACATAAATTAGAGACAAAAAATGCCTAATTATTGCAATTAATATAAAACGGAGGTTATATTACTGTATAATTAACTTATTAACCTACATATGTTGATTGTATGTCTCGAGGACAACACAGACCCATTGGCCTCCAGGACCGGGCTGGATGACTCATCCAAGGGTTGACCCATGGGCTTCTTTTAACAAAAATGAAAATGCATTAATACTTTTTTTTTGTTTTTTGGAAAAAACAAAATTGCATTAATACTTTTGTGTTGTTTAATATGCTAAATTATCATGCCAGAAAAAAAAAATATAAGTTGTCATTAATAACTAGTTTTTGGCCCGGAGGATGCCCCGAATTAATTTGTATATTTAAAATTATAACAAAATAAAGTGAAATATATTAGCGGTTTTATAAAAAAATACAATATCATTTTCAAAAAATTTTAAATATAATTGAACATCAAAATTCATTATTTAATGTGTAATAATTTAAATGTTATTTTGTAATTTTTTTTTTAGGAATATTTTGTATTAGTTTGTTTTAATTATTAAAGGAATTGTTTTATTTATTAATAAGCTGTCATAATAAATATTTTCGAGTAAATAAATTTTGTGGTAAAAAGATAAAACCTGTAAAATTGTTATGCATTTTTAAGTTACATATTTTAATCAACACCTATATGAATTATGGTGGAGTAATTGAAAGAAACGAATTTTTTTTGTAATTATCCGATTTCCTTTAAAAAAAATTATTGTTAAAATATCAACATATAAGTTCACCATTATAATTTTAGAATTTATGAACATAATAAATAACTCTTTTTATTACTCCCTCCGTTTTTAAATACTTACTCCATTTCCTTATTTGGAAAGTTTTTACAATATTTAATTAATTTATCTCACCTAGTGGTCCCAACATATATTCTCTCTCCTCTAATTCTCTCTACTACTTTTGTTTTCTATAATTTTTTATTTTTCCACCAACCCCATTACCTTCATATTTTATTACTTTCTTTAATTTCTCCTAAAACTCCGCGCATGGAGAAATGGAGCAAGTATTTAAAAATGGAGGGAGTACAACTTTATTATCATATAAGATGTGTCATTAGAGTGGTGGTCAAAGTATAATTTTAATGAATATAAGGTTATGGCTTATGGGTTCAAGTATGAAAGCTAAAAAATAATAAATTTTTATAAGAAAACAATGGTAATTAACAATAGTAGGTGACAGGGCGACACGTGACAAGATTGACGACATGTGGCAAGATTACAATCCTTGCCATGAGTTTTAATAATACTACCTCCGTTAATTATTATTTGCAACAAAGGGATATTATATGTGAGATATAAAATATTCCTTTGTTGCAATTAATAGTTAACGGAGGTAGCATATATATTGACTGATATTGATATTGATATATTGATTTTACGTATACAAAACATAATACTATCTCCGATCCTTTTTTGTTGACACGTATTCCTTTTTAGGATGTTTTTTGTTAGTTGACACGTTTTCTTTTGGGGTAAATTTTTTTACCTTGTATTTACAAGCTACCCCACTTGCTTTGTATTCTCTCTCACTCTCTCTACTCTCCTTAATATATTTAAATCAAACGCGTCAACTAAATAGAAACGGAGGAAGTATGAACCAAAATAAAATATGATAAAGCCTAGAAACCCATAGAATGATAAAGAGAAAAAGAAACAATAAGTGATAATAGGTACAGTGGTGGCCGACATATATATAATTAAAAATAGAAAGTATATGAAAAGGGAAAATACAAGTACAATGGAAAAAGAAATTCTTGGACTCTAACTGTTTATGACTCTAACAGCACACATTAGTATTTCATACGATACCAACAACAAATTATATCGATACCAAAAAAACAATTTTATGTTCGTTGGTATCATTGAATAAAGTGATTGATATCATGGTGATACTATCTAAAGTATAATGAAATATCAACATGTGTTATGACATTATTTTTTTTCAAGTATGGTAAAAATAAATGGACAATTATGCCCCTTGTTAGAGTTAGAGTCCTGGAATTCCTCGGCAGGGTCGTGCTTTACTAAGCTTTAGGACCACGGGTCACCCTATGTGCCAAGCTTGATGTGCTATCCAATATTTTAACGTCGAAGATCCAACACAGATGCTTAAATTTAAATGAAGAGGATTTATTTAAAAAAAACAGAAAAAAAAATTAAAAGGAAAAATTGTCAAAAATAATATAACCTTTAAGTGGTCCACCAAAAACAAGTCGACCTTTTGATTATTTCTGAATAATACTACCTTTATAAGGTATCTGCTTTAAATAGGATGGAGCCTTAATAGCCGGTCAACTTTTTAATTATCTTTTAATAAATTCATTTAACAGGTTCATTAACTTTTATTTAAAATTTTAATCATGGTTAGCACTTAATTTTTTTTCCTAAATTTTTTTAAATAATTTTTCTATAAAAAACTTAACAATTAAAATAAAAAAATATCCTCCACCCATCTCCCCCACTAGGCAACCACCACTGCCACCTCCTTCATTCCCGTTCCCCGAAGCTTTGCCAGCACGCCGCTCCTTACCCTCCGGCGCCGGCCGCGCCCATATCCTCCCTGCCGCGGCGCCAGTGTGGAGCCCTCCCCTTGTCGCGCGTCGCCCCTCATCTCTCTTCCCCTTAACCACCAATTTCCTCCCCGAAAGTCCGAAACCCCTCTCCCTCACCCACAAACCCCCTAAAGTCATCCCCCACTCTCGAAAAACCTTAACCAGACCACCCCAACCATCGATGACATCTTTAGATAATTGAGGTTGGGGGATGGATTTCAGGGGAGGTTTTGTCGGGGGAGAAAGGGGGCATCGGGGAGGGGGTTGGTTGTACGCGCGCCAAGGGGAACGGGGTCGGCGTCGCCGTTGGCACTGGTCATGGCCGGCGTCGGGAATGAAGAAGGTGGCCACGGTGGCTGGTGGGGAAAATGGGTGGGGATCGTTTTTTTAAAAAATAAATAAATAAAATAAAGTAAAAATCTTAATGAAACTAAAAATTAAATAAATAAAAAATAAATTAATTTCATACCAATAAACAAATGACATGTGTCCCTGTTAATAGGTTAATAACCGGTCATAACTTGTTTTAAACGGATACCTTATAAAGGTATTATTATTTAGAAATAATCAAAAGGTCGCCTTGTTTTTGGCGGACCGCTTAAATGTTTTTATTATTTTTGACAATTTTTCCAAATTAAAATGAAGAGTATAAATAATATGAGTGTTTTCCCTAAATAATTTTGGGAAGAATTTCAATTCCATAAATACTTCTATTTTTTTATTAATTCCCAATTTACCGTCCACGTCATCAGTTTAATTAGATTTTTTTTCGGTTTTCTTTGCAAAACCGCTACTTCAAGTAGCGGTTTATATGGGAAAACCGCCACTTGAAGTAGCGGTTTCCACCTAATACTATTACTTTATTTTTAAAAAAAGGGACCTTTCTTCGTCGCTTTCCCGTGTGGTTCAAATCAATGTTGGGTTTCTAGTTTCCTCCATTACCTTAAATCAACTATAAAAATTAAAATCAAACCTCTTCATTCATTCTTTAATTTCATTATTCATACTCCATGTTAAGGTGGGTAAATTTTCATATCAAATTTGGAGATGATTGGACGAACAAAAGTTTTGAGAATTTGATTTATTGATTCTTTTTTTTTGGGTATTATAATGGGATTTTTTTGCAATTCTCCCTCAAGCCTAATTCTTTTGGAATGGATAAATTCATGGGATTATCTTGCAACTCTCTCTCTAAATCATGATTTTTTCAATCAAGTCTGAAGACTCGATGCTCAAAATTACCGCATCTGCCACCCGCCACCCGCCACTGCCACATCTTCCACCTTCGCCAGCAGGAGTTCTACCGTCTTTACCACCGCCTCCATACCCAAGGTTAAGTGTAACTAATTTTGTTTTGGTTTTATGCTGTAGATCCAACAACATTTATTAAGTTTTTTTTTCTTAGTTTTATTTAGTTTGATTTTGATTTATACTCGATCTTGGCTCAATTTCATTATGTTCTTCTGAATTCATCCATTAATACCAGGAATAAGCCCTGACCTGTCCGTGCACAAGCTGGTTGAAAATCCAGCCATTAAGCCAGTCCGCCAGAAGAAAAGGAATCATGGAGAAGAGAGGAATCAGGCGGCCGCAGCTGAGGTAAAAACGCTGCTGGACGCCGGTTTCATTCGGCAATGTTATTACCCAGACTGGGTAGCCAATGTGGTTCTCGT